CAGCTGCTCACCAGCTCCCTTCTGCTTGCCATGTGAATGCATGAGAAGAGGATTTAAAACCTCTTTCCAGTCTGCTTAGTGTCAGCATTTGGGTTTTCTTGCTCTCTTGCTGCTATTGCAAATGCACCCTGAATGTCCCATACCCTCAGCAACCTCCCAAAGCAGAGATGTGCGGGATCTTCTCACATTCCCTTCTTCACAGAGGGAAACTGGAGACAGGAAACCTGGTAACAAAGGCTGCAGAAACTGAAACACAGGGTGTGCTATTGCGTGACTCAAGACAGCAGACCTGGACCTGCACATAACCTGAAAGGCAGCAGGTCCTAGGAGCACTATTACCACGTTCAGGGAAGGTGCCTGTCCTGCCCATACACAATGCAGAATGGTTTCATGACTTGCGAAGGCTCTCAGAGCTATTTGAAAGGGTAAACCAACAGGGTAAACCTCAATCACTCAATTTTCTACCGCTGTTGCCACATAAGGTTTTATTATTGGTAAAATCAGACACATTCAATAGTATTTCACGCACACAAAATGGACACTGGTGCCATAAAGAGTGTAATCAAATTCCCAGAAAGAGAATGCAGATTGAGAGAGATGCTCCTTTCCACGTCTTTTACTTAGGACCCAGCTGACACAAGCAACTGAAATTTGCTGCTAAATGAATCAAGACAGTACAGTGCATTGCAAAGCAGCATTAAAATCAGTGCTTGCCTCAGCAGGATTTGGTGCTCCTGAATCATGCTTGTATAACATTAAAGCTGAGTTAGAATATTGCTGTTCTTTATTTGTTATCCTCCTTGATCGTTTGCTTTCGCTAATGTGTTATTCAGTTGAAAGACTATTTACTAAAGCTGAACAGTATAAGCACACAGAGCGCTGACCATGTCACATGAGCTACCACTATCAGTAAATTAATTTATACAAGCCAAGCATTAAGTCATACACAGTTCAAATGCATTTAAACTACAGCTCCAAACCTTTAATCTGTGTTCTCCTAACTTCTTTATATACATATTGTGTGCAGAAATTAATGAGTATATCAAACAATCTGGTGATGAGATACGGAAGCCTTACTCATCCTGGAACAGATGGTGGGAACAGAAATTGCTCCCAACAAAACTAAACTTGATCTAGAGGAATTCTCTCTAGAGAACCTCTCTGAGAGATCTGCTCTTGGTTGCTGTATGAGCTCTGTCATCCCACCCCAAAAATGCATTACAAAACCAAAGGATTGGTACCCAGAGGCCAAAATGCTGACTGAGCACAGCTCACCAGTTCCCAGGTGTGGACCCCTGATGCTGCTACTTGGTTAAACACTTTTCCTGCACAAAAGCACAGGAAGGGGTTGCCACTGATGGCACAGAACAGCATAAATACGCCTGGGAATTGATGATTTATTCAGCAACAAGGACCTCTGCCTACCAGGAACTGGCCACATCCACTCACCCAGTTTTAAACCAGGAAACCAGCAGGGGCCAGAATCACCAAGGTGAAAACATGTGAGGAAAGACTGGAAGTGTGAACAGGAACAGGGGGAAAGGCAGACAGTCTCTCCTGTAATTCCAAGGAAACTATGGTATCAGCCCTCACTAATAAATATCGCTGCTTTTCACTTCTTCTAGGCCTAACAACAGGATTTTTCACATTAAACTATGGGGTAGATCAAGAGCATTTAATGCTTCTATCCTTAGATTTAAGAAATCTTCAACACCTTTAAGCTGCAGAAAAACAATTCCAGAGATGAAGATTTATATTCTTGATAATGGGGCAGGCTCACATAAATAACTGAGCTCAATTTAAGTTTCATTCCAGTTGTAAAGTGTCTGCCTCTTATTGAACTGCAACGGCAAGATTTGTCAGAAATGAATCACTAGATTAACTAGTGGCTATGGGGAGCACAGGAAATGCATTCCTGTTCCTGAACTCCTGCACTTGATGGAATAATCAGAACCCTCCACTGGGATTCAGGCAGGTATCAGCATGGTAACGGGAAAGGGGCTGGAGTCTCCTATCCGTTTTGGTTATCGTTTGCATTACCAGGTCCATGCAGAGTATGGCTTAAACAAACCAACCCCAACAATGCCACAATTAGCATCTATTTTGCATCTAATGAAACAGAAGACAAGCTCCTTTGTCTGCAGTTATTTCCAGCTTTATGTTTTCATCTCGGGCTTCATCCAAATGCTAATGAAATAAATTCCTGGATCAGAACCACAGATCTGTTGCCAGCACTGGGTTTTGAGGCCTTCTCCACTTCTCAGTACCCACATAGCAATTATTGAGCAAGACTTGCTGGCTAGCTCAGTGTTTTCTCATCCACATTTAACGGGGCAGGTTGACTTTACCTTAAAAACACTGCAAGAGTTTATAACCTCAAGCATACTGCCGCAGAGCAGAGCTATTACTTAGTGAGCCGGGTACCCAGTTTCTAAAGACACTGCATTATTTCCAGTAGACTGTTTACCTGAGCACAGAATTAGCCTTGATTCTGAGCCTTTATGGGAAATTTTATTGTCCAAAGCAAATATGACCTGTTAAGATTTAGAGGCCGTATTAGCAGCAATAACAACTTTACAATCAACATCAGTAAATCTGGGTTTATTAAGAACTCTGCAGTCTTTAACTGTAGAAAGCAATTAAAATGTCTGTTTCTCACTGGATATAATACCTAACTTTCATACAAGACACACATCCTGTTTAATTGTTGAGTGTAAAGCAGCGTAGTTCAAATCATTCTAAAATTCTCAGTAAAATTCAAACTGTGATGACTGAGAATCACCATTTTTTTTTCCTAAAGTGGCTGAATTCCAATAAAAATAACATTTTTGGCTATTAAACTGTACAGAAATTGGAAAACAGTCAAATGTGTGCTCTCCAGTTCAGCAAACCATATGTGTTGGGTAGAACTGTACCTATCATCACTGGTTTCTTTTGATCTTAAAGAAAACACATTGATTCTCTATAGTTTTTAATTTGAAAACTCACCTTGAAGCGCTGTGGTTTTGGAATTAGTAATAAAAACTGACATACAGGCCTATGAGAGCAGTTAGGGCAGGGAAAACATCCTACCATCTCCTGACGGAGGTACTAGGATCCTCATCACTTTAGAGAAACCCCTTCAGTGAACAGAGTAAAATGAGAGACATAAGGAGTGCTTGAGCCTATTAAGTTTTGAGAGTGTATTAGGCAACTGAAGAGAGAAGAAAGTGGTGGGTGAAAGAAGAAGGGAAGGAAGAGGAACACGACCAGGATTTGAAGGCACTGGACAAGGCAGAATTCCTCCAGGAAAACCAGGCTGACACACAGCATCAGGACCACAGGTCGGGTTATTTCCACAGTTAAGATTCTGCAGTCAAGTAGATGGTTCATTTCACTTTGGAACTGCTTGTTTTCAGCCTTTCACCTACAACTCTGCACTTGATTTGGGGTATTTGATGAAGAAACATTCACTTATTTTACTGTAGTTTTGTGGCAGGAGGGGAAGCAGGGTTAAAGGAATAAGCAAAATGGAAATGTTGACCACAGAGAGAGCACATTAATGTGAGACAGGATCCACCGGCACTCTGCAGGGATGGGCACTCACAAAACCTGGGTTAGCAGCTCACGTTGTCTGAGAGGAAGAGGTCACTGAGGTTGCCCACTGGTGGCTTTGGGGGAATCTCTGCAGGCAGCGATTTCCATCCCTTCTGCAGAGTGTGGGCAATGAATCCCACACAGACAAAGGATGGTTTGGCAATTACACCTTTGGAAGCTTGCTTTGTCTATAGAATAGACGTGTTTACCACAATATATATTCCAGTGATTTTGACAACTCTCTGCAATGCATTTTTCTAACACCATTAAAACGAGTAAAAATAAGGCACAGCTGAGGATAATGTAGTATCAGAAATTGGAATGACAGAGTAAAGCTCATTAGATGCCTGTATACAAATTCATCTATTCACCGTTCTTATTTCTAACCCATTTGTCTTTTGACCTTTGCCACTTCTACATGATTTTCAGTATCTTTTGCACATCAGTTTGCTGCATTTCTCCTCTATTTTCATCTGATCAACATGCTTCCCCTTAACTAAAAGGATTCCTGTTCTTTGGAGTTTATTTTCCTTGCTTCTTTTGTTGCTTCAGTTGCAACACACCACAGCAACAGTGGAGATAAAGGGCAAAATTCACTTCTGAGTGATACCATTTCTCATCCTCATCAAAAGAAGCCAGTGAGCATGCTGCAGCGTGTGATCAGCAGCACAGCACAGTGTTACAGGGGCTGCTCAGGGCTCTGGCCCTGCGGCTGCAGCCTCAGTGTGCTCACTGCAGCTCACCCAGGGACCCAAGAGATTTCAACACTGCCCGGGGTCCTGCCAGGGCAGCACTGGCTCAGGACTCCCACCACGAGTCAGCTCTTTGCCAGGTAAGAACAAGGTGATGCTGTCCTCACTTCAACCAGCACATTGTTTCTTTTCTTTTCATGCCTCCCTAGCAGATTTTTAAGCACAAGCCCCTTAAAACATCTTCCTCCAAGAATAGTTGGGCTATTCTCATTTTAAGGCATCCCCATTACTTTCCTGCTAGGATGCAATTCTCTTGACAAAAAGCATGTTCAAAGCTAAGCAAAAAAAAAAAAAAAAAAGCCCCAATTATTATTTGTGGCAGATATTCTGTCTCCAGCAACAATTTATCATAATATTTTTAGGGTGGGTGAGGGTTTTTTATGTGTTACTTTTTCAATAAGAAAAGTAATTTTTGATAAAATGAGTAACAATCTGTTTTCAGTCTGTAAGTCTCGCACTTGAAAACTACCAAACCTAGGAGTGGTTTTTTTCAGCAGCATGTCTGAATTCTGATTAAAAGCCATTCCTTTTTAAATCTTATATAATAAACCCCTTTGCTATTTAAAGCAGACTGTGAGAGAAGAACACAGTAACCAAGAGCAGACCTTGAAAGCCATGAGGTTTTGCCTTTCTCCTCCCTTCCCACTCTCCCCCTGCAGCACCAAGGCTCACCTCAGCTGCAGGGACTCCCTCGGGCGGGCGGCAGTGGAGGACGATCATCCCTTCGATGGGAACCTCCTTCCCTTGGGGATCTTGCTCAAAGTTCTTCCGTAAATCTGCAGGGTTCAATGCAATGAATCAATACACAAAAGCCATTCCTCCCCACGGAACACAGCTTTGCCACGTGTGTATGAAGCAATGGGCAACTGAGAGCTACTCATTCTTCCCCAGATGCAGAGCAAAGAGATCCCATCACCTTCGATTGTGTTTCCATTTCTCCACCTTTAAGAAACCACTTCTGTGTGACCGCAGAGACAATCAGTTTTAGATCCCACAGACTCCATGGTCCCAGGTGGGCACTGTCTCCTGAGCCATTGCCTTTCCAAAACAGGGGAATGAAATGCAAGAACCACAACATGCCATTGCTGGGGCGCTGTTAGAACCAACCCAATGAATCCAAGAGACTGGGTGAACCATTTCCCAGTGCACACTACTTGAGATGAGTGCCAGGGTATTTCATCAGATGTCCTAAGCCGGATGATTTGTTTAGCTCGCCTACGTACTGCAAGCTGTGGGAAAGGAAGGGAAGGACTGAGAGCAATTCCATGTGTTCCAAACAGGATTGCTTCATTTCAGACATGACGGCCCAGCCAGTAATTCAGGATAAGAAACAGGGTGTACTGTCTCAGAGTCACAATGATGTGCTCGCAGCACTTCAAGGGCAAACCAGAACGAAGCAAACCTGTCTCCAGTGACACTGGCCTAACCCAGCCATGCCCATGAATACATGCAGTTAACTTGCTGTGAGAGGAAAACGAAACGGAAGGGATGTGACTTAGTACACGTGCTTTGAGAGTTAGGATGCTGCCATCAGACATATTCATTTTCTTCAAACAGTGTCTCAGATTCCACAGGCTGGATTTACTGATTTAATTTTCTCCATTGCTTACACCTCATGAAATACACCCCCTTAAATGCAGAGGCTCTGAGTCAGTTACACTTTAATATATTTTCCAAAATACATTAAAACTTATTTTAGCAAGCCGGTCACTACAGAAAGATGCACGCAGTGCATGTATAATCCTTTTTATGATTCTTTCTTAATGTTGATTTGCTTCCCCCACAGATAACCGCTATCTCTTCCAGTACTCTTTAAAAAGTCATTCATTAACAGCTAAGATGCAGTTGAGCCTACAAATGCCTTTATTAGCATGAAAAATGGAGTAGGATCCATCTTCTCATTTTCTCTGCGTTCCACGCTATCATAAAGAAATACTTACCTGCTTTTTCAGAGAAATATAAAGTGCTTTAATGCTTTGGTCTTGACTCACAAGTCAGAATCTAGGCTTTAGTATCAAAGAAGAAAGGAAAGAAAGAAAGAAGTTGACCCCACCACACTGCACACTGCAATGACGTGTGCTGTCAATGCTATGGTTCTGTACACTACCACAACCTGCAGCTACACATTCCTGTCTCTAGTCCTTTACAGGGCATTTCCCAAGGGAGAAACTTGTTCCCCAAATCAAATAGCTGGGTTGTTCACTGCAGACAGGATGACACAGGCCTGGGAAAGAGGGAGCCCTGGAATCTCATGGGGGTTGGTGATGGGTACCAGTTGGTAGCTATTCATATTCCCTGTCTGGAGCCCTAACGGGTCCCATCGTCTCCACACTGCAGAAGTGCTGTTCTTTCCATTTCAAAAATGACTTCCAGGGCAAGTGGCACAAAAAAGGCCAGTGCAGGAGCACAGCTCTCAAGACAAATGTACAGCCACAACCAGTGGAGCACCCTGGGGTGCCTGCCAAGGGTGATGGGGTATCTGCAGTTATGGGAGGCTGCTGGGGACAGGGTTTACATAAGAACTGGTACCAAGGTGATGGGTTTAGAAGTCCCAACACACAGCTCCACCTGCTTCTGCCCGTTCTGATTTTCACTCATATTGCCATGTGATGCGTTTGGGAAATCACAGTGCAGAGAAAAGTCGATAAAAATTCAATTCAGATTAATAGTCCTCTGCAGCTTAGCAATACAGGGGAATTATTAGCTCGTTCAGCGTTATGACAGTTAATGCAGTAAAATAAAAACCTGAACTTCTGCATATTTACCCATTCAAGCTAAAGCAGCCACCAGAAAGATCTGGGATCTATAAAATGAAGGAGTTGTTACTGTCCTACTCCTTATCTCAATGCTTATTTTAAGGTGTCCTGTTAAAAAAGCATTGTTTTAGACAGATTTATCACAAATCTGATCAAGTTACCATTCAGTTTCCTGCTTGAACCTCCCCATCCTGTTCCTCATTGCCCTCATCTCCTTCCAAGCAGCATTTCTCCCAGCCCTTTGCAGGTTATTGCCATCATTCCCTGGGACTGGTTCTTTAAAGACATGAACTGCTAATTTAAAGGGCAAGAGTTCACAACAGACCGGGGGAAAGTTAACTCCTCAGTTGTCTGCTTGCAGCGCTGCTGCAGAAGGATGGTTTCAGGCTCTCACCTGCCAACCAATGATGTGCTTCAAAACTGAAACCCAGGTACAAAATACAATGCTACAGAAGATTCTAAAGTATTCTTGCCCTTTTCTGTTTTAAAGGAAGTGTAGAACAGACACTTATGTGGGTTTTTTTCATATTTCTTTGACCCCTGTGATCAAGTTGGAGGAAAAGGGCACTTCCCAGGGGATCTTCTGTTGGCTTTAACCTTTTTTATTACACAGCATTGTTGTGACACTGTGACCAGAATCTCTGAAACAGATTTGCCGAGTGTAAATGCAGACTGATCAATCCACGTTAAAATAAAAGAGAGGCCTGAAAAGCCCCATCATGCTTTCTGTGCTAGTCCTACAGCATCCCACAAGGGAGGGCTGGCAAACCAGCAGCACTTTACCAGTATACATTTACACTGAACCCTAGAAGAACAGCACTGTTTCCATGCCTTACAAAGCCTGGAATAGCAGAACATTCCCTCTACTCACAAGCTATGCGGACAGACGCCTTCCTGCTCTTTGAGGTCCCTAGATGGCTCCATGCAACACACTGACACCAGTAATCTTCTGGGCCATGAAAGTCTTCCACCTGCTGTCTCGTCACATTGATGAACACCTCCCGAACCTTCAATCCTAAAGGGAAAGATAGAGGAAATTAGTTGGTAACAGCCTCTTGCTTAGGCATAAAACTAAGGTTAGCCAAACCTTTTCTTTTAATTACACAATTCCATTTTTAATCAAGGCAAAGCTTTAATTCCTTTAACAATAACATATTGCCACTAATTGAATTCTAAAAGCTGAGCAGGTCATAATGCGCTGAGTTACAAGAACTACCCACCCACTGGAGCCTTTGCAAGGACACAACGCATCCCTCAGAAACCCTGTCTCTTGTGCTTTTTTCACCCAGAGTGTGTATCTAGACTTAGATACTATAACATAAAACTGAATTATCTTCCAAACTAACATCTACGTGCCCCTGAAAACCTTTCTGAAGTACCCTGGCAGGCCCCCAGTTGAGTCCGACAGAACTATGCACGTATGACAGGAGCTGATCTAATGTCCCACTGAATTCCAGCCTGTTCCAGCCACTACTACCACAGCTCCATCCAGCAGCCACTTCTCCATGCAGGGGGGAAAAGCTGTGTCACTGCAGCACACAGAAAGCTAAGCTCAAGCCATTACACCCTGAAAGGAGGAGAAAACAAAGGGAAGTGAATGCACTTCACAGCTCACAAACAGAGACGTTCGCCATAGCTGCATATCTGCACCATAACACTGGGGAGAGGAAATATAATCCAAATGTGGGTTGAAAGGCATTAGGAGTCAGTTGAAAGTGATGGTCAGGAAAACATTAATTTGAAACTAGAAAACATTCATTCCTTCTACTTTCTTCTTTCTCCTCCTGTGCTGACCACCCAGATACTTCTTTCCCCTTCACTGGAAGTGAATGAAAACTCCATGTTAAAATATTTCATGTCTGCAAAGTTTATAAAGCAGCAAGGAACTCCTAAACCTGAACTCCATAAAAGTTGGCTTCTGCTTAATCTCAGGCATCATTACCAGCTGGGTGCTTCCCTCCTGGAAGGCACTGGGAAGTCACCGTGTTCCTTGGGTGCACAGGAGAGTTGAGGCCACTGGGGATGCTTATGAAGAGGGGTGGGGAAGGTCAGACAGGCTTTAAATACTGATAAAGCAACACAAAAGCCTTGCTACTTTTCCAGCAATAGGCAAAGGGAGGGTTTGCTTCTTTCCATTCAGCCTGCTGGGCTTGCCATTTCACCACGGTACTTAAAGACACGCACAAACCTGCAACAGAGTCCTGCGCTGTCTCAATAATCAGTTTAGTCACTCAAATATTTACTCACTCTGTAATAGGCAAACAGAGGTTTCCAGGTTGCTTTTATTTGCATTGTGTTCTTTCAAACATGGTGATGCAGTTTCCAACGAAACTGTTTACAAAACATCTCTTCGTTTTCTGACACGGTGAAAACAAGCCCTTCCAAAGCACACACAGCCCGTGGAACTCGGCAGCTCTGCATCTAACTCCTCTCCCTGCTGACAGACTACATGATGAAAAAGCACCATCCCAATTTAGACACCCAAGCTGCTCTGCCCGTGAGGAATCCCTGGATTCTCAGCAATAAACCATGTGCAGAGTCATCTTTGTAGGTTAAAGATAAGAGCAGCTATGGTTAAGTTCCATTTGTGAGCACCTGAGCCCTGGCACCTGACACAGCAGGTTTTGACTGCCTGAAGATTCAGCATCCCTCCATGCTGCATGACAGACACACACTTTCCTGTTACTTACCCTTGGCAAATCAAGCTGTGCAGTCCCTGAATGATCTCAATCAAAGCCACAAAGCATCAAAGCTCCCAAGCCAACAAGGCTGCCACCCATCTACTTAAAGCCTTCTTCAAGAAGGGTGTAAACCGATTAAGTCCTTGACAAAGAGTGACCTTTCTGAGGTGGCCTGTCCCCAGTCACTCAGCACTCAATTAGCTGACACACGCATGGTGCATCCTGCAAACAGCACTGCTCTGCGTGCTGCTGGGAAGGTACAACCCTTCACTGCACATCCTCAGCATCTCCAGCTGCCCTTCCATCCCGTGATCAGCTCCTTCCCACCTTGACTGCTAAGTAGGTATCTTCACAGGGAGAGAATCCTCCCCATCACCAGCCATTAGCTACAGCCTCAAGGCAGCCATCAGTCACCCCCCTGGACCTGCCACGATGGGTTCTGAACTCTCGCCATTTCTCAGCTGCTCAGGAATTTCTGGAAGCAGCAAACAGAAGCCAAGGAATGGGAGCTGCATATTGTACAGCTTACTGAGGAGCCATGCTACCACCACCACAGTCGGCACTGATACCAAACAAGAAGCCTTTTCTGGGCTCATTGGTAGTGTAAAATACCAAGCAGCTGTCAGTGAACAGAGGCATTTACAGCTTCAGATTTATTAAGGTAGAGCATTCTCTGACCCAGCTATTCCTTCCATTGATGCCTGATTTAATTAATCTATATATCAGCCTTTCTTTTCTGAAGCAACATTACATGCAGTTTGAATGAGGCAAACAACCAGCACGTGAGATTGAGAAAGTGGTGGTTCAGCATTTGAAGAACGGGCCAGGGAGGAATTCGGGTCCTTTTAAAGGTCTCCCAGTTTGCCAATAGACAAAATAAATGCAGCCAAAATGGCAGAATCACAGAACTGCTGAGGTTGGAACACCTTGTCTCTGGGGAAAGTTACGTTTTGTTGATGGGGAAAAGACCCCCATTCACATTGTTCTAGAAACAACCACACAAAGCAAATGTCTTGGGAAGAGCAGTGCGTATTCTTCATTTACCATCACTATATCTCACCAACAAATACACTCAGCGTCCCTCTGCAGCTCAAGAAATGCCAGAAAAATTGCTCCTAGGAAATGACACAGAACAAAAAACCCATGCAAAGCAAAGCAGGCACGTAATGAACACGAGCAGCATTTTACCTGCGACTTGTGTAACTCTAATAAAGCACCGCAAGAGCAACCCTTTAAATTATTGTGCAAATTATAACCATCATCTTTTGTTGCACAGTACAGCCTTACAGAATATAAAATTATGGTACTGATATGCTAATCAGCTTTCTGCACTGTTGGATGGTTTAGCTGCAGATAGACTAACGCTGGCAGCAGATGAATAATTGCTCTCCATGTACTAAACATAACAGAGCTGCACAGAACTTCAGCATTTGTCAGCGTTATTTGTTTAAATGAGAACAACACTGACAGCAGTTATTGCTGCAATCCTTTTATTTATCAGACAAGAGAACTCTAGTTACTCTTAGTAGGCCTGATCCTCTGGTGAAAGCCAAAGTTGAAGTATTTATAAACTAATTTGGAGGTGCACACTGCAACCTTCAGGCAAGGAAAATAAAGCAGAAGGAAATTCATCAAATCGTAATGATTATGTTTTTATCACAGTAGCATCTACTAACTCAGGCTCTTGGTTTATGGGGTAGAGGACACGGAGCAAAGCTCCTGTTCTGCCACGTTCATGCAACAAACAGAAGAGGCAGGCTATGGATTACTGCCTTTTCTGCAACTCAGGAAATAAGGAAGGAGAGGATGAAATAACATGGTCTCTAATGGAGCGACCGCATGTGGCAGCGCAGTGATGGGAACCCATACCCGCTGCAGGGGCAGTGTGTGCCTGAACTCATGCTGCACAAACAACAGCAACTCCACAAGAGTCGAGACTTCAGTGCAAACTCCTCAAGCCAAGGCTTCCATGCTCAAGCAGCCAGTGCACGTCACAGCCCATTGCTACAGCAGTTCCAAAGCGACAGAAATCCTTCCTCTCCTGCTGCTCCTCCTCTACAAATGAAGAGGGACTCCTGTGGTACTCAAAGATCTGTTTCTGTCCTGTAAAGACAGGATCGTGCAAAATTGGATTCCATGTTCATCACAAGGACAAAATATGCACATTGTCTACCAACAGCTGTCCCTCCTGTCCTTTTCCATGTTCACAATACAGTGCTGTAGGTAAAATCCATCAGGACAGTGTGCCCGCAAGCACCGCTGCCAACTTTGTCTTGCATATGCCTGGCTAAGAGCTTGCTGGCAGGAATTTATAGAGATGCTAAGACAATTTCTTGCATTCTGCATTAAATTTCCTCTTGTTTGGGTTTCTTGTTGCTATTTTTCTCCACTTTTCTATACATCATCTCAGAATTCTAATCACAAAACAAACAGTGAAAGGATGTAAAAGGACAGCCCCGTTTTCCTATACTGTACCCTCTCTTAGAGAGCGCGCCAGAATCATCCCCTTTAACCACAGGCACCGTTCTTGGCACAGCTTCCAGTGCAGTTTTCCACAGATGGAGCTCTCGCAGCACACAGAACACGGTGCACACTTGGTAACAGACATGTTTATGCCCCAGATTTGACTCCAGAAATGAGGGCGCTGCCAATACGCACATTCATTCTAAATAAAACCCAGTAGTCTGCTGTTTACTGAAGGCAAAGGAAGAGTTCCAAAATACCTTCTGGATCATGGTGAGAGACTATCCATGCCTGTCCTTCAACTTCACACTGTAAACAGGCCTTTACTTCCATTTTTAGGTCCTAAGGGCCATTATGGCAGTTTGTGGAATGCCCAGCACTGCACTGTCTGTCCCACACTCGTGTTTAGAGAACAACGCTTGCAGGGTTAGCCCTGTTCCTGGGCAGAATTCAAACCTGCAACATTCATATGCCAAATCTCATCTGCACAGCCCACGCCTCCAGGTCTCAAACCTCAATGTTACTAAAAACCCCACCTAATGCTACTTCATCTTTCTCTGCTATTAATCCAAGGCTTCCAAATCATAACTGCAGCATTCACAAGACAGACACAAGGTTTTCATTAACCATATGGAAAACAACTTTTAGGGAGAACACTTCTTCCACACTGACTCAGCAATGCCTTTAGAAGTAAAGGTTGTGCCTATTAAGTTAATTTCATAAAGGTAACTGTAAAAATTAAAACTCATCCAGATTAGCATTTATCAAAAGCCTTTAGTACAGAATTCCTTCAGAATGCATCACTTAAAAAGGATGCCAAACCACGCTCTAGGAGATCTAACTTTATTTTAAATGGTATTTTTTTTCCCCTAGAAAGGAATTGCTTGTGTTGATAGAGAGGATGTTATGCATACACTGCTATTTCCAAGACATGGGAGTTGCTTAGCAATCTGGGAATTTAGAAAGAGAAGAAAAGCAGTAACAAAGCAGAATTGTGAAATGACTAGAGGGTGCAGCATTAAATTGGTTTGCAATACTTATCAAGATGCTTCTAAATGAGAAAAGATATAGGGTGTGCTGGGAGCATGATAGAATCTGTTGATCATTTTCAACCTTCCCCCTTCTCTTTTAGATGCTCACTGTTACACAGTGGATTTTCTTACTTAGCTTTATTACCTACCAAACACCCATCACTGCTTGGGCGTGAAGGCACATTTCAGCCACCACACTGGCAGTTTTTCAGGGTTCATCCTGACAGGAATTGCATAAAGGCATATGTGTCCCTGTTTCTTGTTTCCACTAGAAATTACACCACTGAAATACAGAGGACTGCTATTCCCTCCAGCATTGCTGGTTTCCTTCAGACAGCTCACCGACTATGGTTAGTGTATGATCAGACCTGGTGGTATGTGTCCAGTTTGTTACATCTCCATGTAATGCCTCCCACATCTACAGTCATTTTAATTGCCTCTGTTTTCCCTATTCATGCTATGCCTCTTCTGCCAGGATTTGTATTCCCTTCCCTGCCTGTCAGCTCTGTCCTTCTTTTACCTTCTCCCATCCATTGGTTTCCCTTTGCATTTTGGGAAACTGCCTCTCCTGCTCCGCAGAGCTGTGTCTACCTGGTGCACACAACACCAAGCTAACCAAAAGCTGCTGCTGCAGCAGCCCAACACTAAGCTAATGCTGACAGACTGTGCTCTCCCACAGGGTGTCCTCCCTGTGCTCAGGACAGCACACCCTCAGCACGTGTCCTTTGAATTAGAGCTGGTTCCATTCCCTTGAGCTCAGCTATCTGCCACAGCACAGGACTCCATCTCTGGATGGGATCTCCCATTCCCTGCTCCACTTTGCACACTGCAAATAGACACTGCATGCAGGTACATCTCCCGAAGGACACACTGCCCTTACCTGTAGTCTCATCCATGCTTTCCTCAGACACGTGCTCATTTTGATGGACCCATTCACCATTGCACTTGAAGAAAATCTGCATAGCTGGCATAGCTTTACAGCGTAAGACAATGGGGTTGCTTTTTATAATGTAGGCATCATCTGGTTCTTCCATAAAATGAGGCAGTGTTCCAGGAGCAGATGGGATAGACTCTGGAAGGCCTTCACTGTTATCATTGCCTGAAAGGGAAGGAAAGGAAAATACACATTTTTATGTTGTTGCACCCTTTGTATCCTCTCATTTTGTTGATTAAAAACCATTTTGGATTTGATTTAAAAACTAATTTTACTTGGAAAAACACCTGTAGAACTCAAGAGCTGTCAGAATCGTGCCTTGAAGCAATGACACACACAAATATCAAATCATTTGAGTATAAGAACTGTCAAGAAAGCTGACAGAAAAGCATCAGCAAACTGCATCATCACTATTGACAACTTTAGAGCTGGGGCACTGAGGCACAGAGAGCTTAAACGAGTCACCTAATGTCATACAGAAATCTGTGGAAGAAGTAGAAACTAAACCTTAGTCTCTTGATTGACAGCCCAGTGCCTTAACTACTGAATCTTCCTTTCTTTCCCTGAAATTAATTTCCTTTAGACAGTTGCTGCAGATTTAACAGGGATCAGAGTGTTAACCACAGCGAAGTATATTCGATATGAACAGCATTACTGTAGCACTCCAGTACTGGAATAAGCAAACTGTGATTTCATACGCACTTAGAGGAAATATTCCATATGCTTTTACACTGTTCCCATTTACTGCAGCCCCTTTAAGGCAACATAAAAGTGGGAAAGTGGTTTCTGTAGGACCAGAAACTGCAAGACTGTGAGCTTTACAGCTCAGATCACAAACAGCGGGATCCAAGGGCATTTGCTCAGCAATGTATAAGCCTAGGTGGCTTATTTTCTGAGTTCCTACGCTCAGACATGAACACACAAGCACTGGAATACAGGCTGTTCCTTTACTACAGCTCTTCTAATTGAGTGAAAAACGAGTTGCTGCTGTCAAAACCAGGAAATTCCCATTGATTTTTAGCAACACTGGGATTTATTTTCAGTAGTTTTGTCAGTTTTGTGAGAAAATTCAGAGAACAGCAACAAAACTAACTCAAAAGGGATCAATTTATGGAAGCAGATTATAAAGGACTGAATATAGACAGTGTAGCCAAACGATAACCGAGGAGGACACAGTCTACATGCAGATGAAGGGAACACAGTACCAGAGAAAGAGGAATAGCTGAGGGCAATAGAGATGTGATTTAACCCAAACCAATGAAATTAAGTTAGATGAAAGGCAAGTTGTGGCCATATGAAGTATGTCTAAAATCCTTCTCAGGTCTAGCAGATGATGGAATAATGAGAACACGCTTTAAAAATAGGTATCTCTCAGCACAGTGTATCTGTGTGTGCAAATATACACTGTGTGTGTGCTGGGAAATCACTATGATTTTCCAATGACTTCAGTGGTTTCAATACATTCACAGCGTGCTTTATAAAATATTATCCTAATTTTTAGCGTTTCACTACTGAACATTTATGCCAATTTCCATCCTGTCAATCTTCAGTAATACTGTGTCCCTGCAGGCTTGATTAAATTCATGCTTTGTAGGAAATAAGAATGTCATTAGAAGATTTTGGAGACGCTTGGAAATCCCATGCTCCCATCGATGCTTTGAGGTAGCAACACGCCTGTGTTAAGGAAGAATAGCTGGAGAACTTAGAAAGCCCCATTGTTATCCCACTAAATTCACTACTTAGGGCGAGACACAAAGGATGAAATCCCAGCCCCACTGAAATTAAGGGCACAATTCTCCTCTCAAGTGGCATCTGGATTTAGTGATACAGCTTTACATTCTTGTTAAGGGTTCCTGATGAGCACCTGAGAACACTGATCCTGCACCTCCTCAGGGACTGCTGTGCTTTTGTCCAACAGCCACGCTGCGGGAAGCATGAGCTGTTTGATGCTGTCACAAGCAGGGTGGGTTGGTGATGGGGAAGTGCTCACTCCTCAAGAAAACATGTCACATAAAAACATAAGTCAAGGGGCATCTTAATGCACCTTTCTTTCATCTATCATCTTTTTTGTACCCTTTGTAACTAAGTAATGCCAACTGTCTTCCATGTGTACATCCATTTTTACAGGAAGGCCAGAATACATAACTTGCTTACACATGGAACTCTTTCCATAATGAAATTTGAGTCATTATTCAGTCAGAAAAGCAACTTAGTGAGATTTGGCTATGTTGTTTTAATCGGATGACCCTGTCCCATATGCAACAACGTGGGGTTTTTGGAAGTCACTCAGATATTGATGGAAATAAGAGATTTTGTTGCCCACATGAAATCCTTTAATGCCTTTGTTATTTCCTCTAGTACGCTCGGATTTACTAAAGCCTACAGGGACACAGTTTTCAGCAAAGACTGACAATACAGGGACAGTGAGAACGGTCAGTAATAGAACATGCATGCTGATGAGCTTCACTGCATCATTTTCCTTTAAACTCTACCCACTGAAGAGGAATAGAATTCCTATTTAATCAGGACTCCAGAACAGCACTGCTTTTGAACAAATACCTTTGGAACTAGCAGACATCAAACTAATGTGTACCTGTGCTGGTTTTCTCTGGCTTTGTGCATTCTACCTGCAGTTTTCAGGCTCGTGAAACACAAATAAGAACCTAGAATCGCAGAAACTCAAATCCAGAATCACCTTCCACGATCAACTCTGCTTTACTGAAAAAACCTGGCTAACAGCAGAGTGAAGATTCCAAGCTGATAAAACTCAGTATTAAAGCTGAATTATTTCTACTCAGTTTCCAAAATGGACTGAACCTTGTAGCAAAATTCATGGTTTAAGTGTTAAGCACCTACCTCATGAGGAAAAATGCTTTCTGATGATGTTTTTACACCCAGGAGCAAGGAAGACTACCAACCCCAAATGCTCTGACTGGTTTCAGAGCACTCGGCAAAGCACAGGGAAAGGCCATGTCTTTGCAAGCCAGTAATTACAGTGTGGGGGGTGGTTTTTTGCATTTTTACTGGACATTCACACCTACCTGACAGGGAGGGAGCATTTCTCCTGCTTTTAAGTTACACAGCTGAGATAGTTGCTGTTTTCTTAAGACAACTCTCTTAAATCCTGCCACCTCACAGGATGGCATCTTGTGGAGAAGCTGCAATAGAAGCCACACTGAATGGACCCTTCTAACTCCTCGTGCTGTGTCGATGAGATGTGCTACACTGACAGGGTCTGGGACCTACCAGTACTTGAGAAACTCTGGAAAGGAAACCCAGTAACTGAGTCATGCACTAACAGGAAAGCTGCTCTTCTGAAGCAAGGAAGCACTCGTGGGGAATGAAGAATGGCTCAAAACCCCACACTACAACCATGCTTTTTTCTTTACTTTACACCTTGGGGTCTCCTGGGTTTTTCAGCACACACTGAAAGTCCCAAGTGCTGAATATTCAGTTCAGCAAGCCAACTTTTGCTATCAATGTATTAGTTTCCTCAGACCCTCTTGCTTCCTATGGATATAAAGTCTAAACTTCTCACAGCTGTACCATAATCCTTCTCATCAAATATTTGGGCGACAGGTGGAAAATTGTTCTGCCAGCTGAGGAAGACAAAATCCATTCCTCCTGGCGATTTTCTGCAATGAAAACTCCCCAGAATGAATGTGCAATAAGTTGGGGAAATAAATCTAAAATATTATCACACAAAAGCAATGTGCTCAGAATCTTTAGCTGCAAACTAACTCTGCTTATCTGAATTTTAAAGACTCTCATTTCTTCTTCTGTGTGCATAGGACTAGATATGAAGCTGGATGCTCCTACTTGAAGCTATTAGCTATAGGCCTGCTTTTCCCCCATTTTGCTTTGCAATGCACTGTGGTCTCTCTCATTCCTTTCTTTCTTGCATGCACCAAGGAAGTCTGACAACAAAACTGGGCAGCACCCATCACCAATTCCATTCTAGGGGAGGGTAAGCAGTTGGGCTGAGAATGGACTTTGTGTGTAACAGCAAGCAATGAAACAGGAACCAAATGCCACAGAGCTGTGTCCAGGTCTTAATAAACCCATGCTAAGCTGCACACACTATTCCTGTTACTTAGAAGGCTTTGGATGACTTTGTCTGCAGCTTATTAGCGGGAAAGGAGAGTGAAAGTCAATATATAATCATGGGAATAAGTTGTCTTAATAGGATTAAAAATCAAGACAACTGTGAAGTATAATGTACTTCAAGTGCCTGTGCTTCCATTCACTGTGACAGTCCCTTCCTACATAACTTACTAAGGAACTGTTACAGGTTAAATGCTTTTTCCACCACAATAAGAGACATGTAAGAGAAAGACACAAGAGACCCCCCCACAGCCTCACAAGTGGTGAGTGGAACTGTCTGGGCAATGACAGTGACCTGCCACAGTTGTAAGCAACTGAGTGAGCCTATTGTAGTAATTCACCATTCCTTAGCCAAGAACCCAGGATGCTCACCATGTGCATACTTCTCCATTCAGATGCAAGTCAATGTGCTAGTCGGAAACACCTATGGTTCTCAGTGCCAAGAAGCACACATGGGTCCCTTCACTGTAACTGAGCAGGAAAGCTGTACATTCCAAAAGCATTCCAAGCTCCCGTACTTTTATGAACAAACCCTTCTTGCCCCTCACTTTCCACCAAACAGCAGCAACATTATTATATTATCCAACGTTTCTGCACACAGTTTCATTTGAGAGACACCCTATTATGTCAACAATATCTCACTGTGACAGAATTTTTAAAGACATATATAGATATTAGTATGTACATATATAAGTGCAATTCTTTTAGTGAGCAGGACTTCTTCCATGGAAAGGATTTCTACACTAATATGAGTGAGGCCATTTTCTCAATCCTCATTTATTCATCTTCCTTTCCTTTTAATATCTTATGAGCTTTAGCAGAGGGCTATGTACTTTCCTTAAAGCTCACAGTCCTCATTTAATCTCTCTGCACGTGGCAGAAAGCACAACTTAATTATATATAGTTTTTAAACATAATAAAAGTTTAAAAGCATCACAGCTTTAGCCACAAATTCCAGCCTTAATTCTTCTATCAAACAACACAAATAAGAAGTACTCGTGCATCTTTACACAGGGCTAGGCTTTCAGATGTTGAAGTGATTAAGACAAGACTGATACAGG